CGATAAGCGTTGGCACGATATAAAGAACCCTCACTGCTGAATGGCCCAGAACGACGAGAAAGGTCTCAATTTGAATCCCTTCATCGGTATATGAATAATTGATGACGTCTATATATGGGGAAAATTCTCGAACTGGATGTTAAACAACATACAATTAATCGATCATCTTGAATAGACACATTTTAATCAGATAGGTAGTTGACTTGTGGTTTCATTTTAAAACAAAAAAATGTCAAAACAATTCCAATCTTTTCTACCTAGTACTTTCATTATTTTTTTTTTTTGACAATGATTTAAACGTATAGAGATGTATAGAAATTGGATGTACAGAATACATTATCAGTTGATGTAAAACTCAGTTATCTATTAGAATCCATATACGACGACCAACTGCTTCCTGTCAACTGCTCACTACACACGTGCCTATTGCCAAGTTCGTGTTGTTGTGTCTACAATGACAGAATCTTAATAGCCAATCATACTTCCAGACTCAGGTTCATGTATTTGATGGTATGGCGTAGCACTACTGCCAGTAATTTCAATTGTACACAATCTTTGTTGTAGCATTGAATTCATAATGGCTTCAAATTGAATCTCGGCACGGCCAGGTGTGTTTAGGACCGAAGACATCCAAAAATATGAATCCAATTAATTATTCTCTAATTTTCCTTCTTCATAATTGCTTATTTCGTTCATCTTAAATGTGAATTTAGCGCCCTTCAAAACTTGTTATTAAATGGAGCCGTTTGTGACGTCAAATAACGTTAAATGACGTTGCAAAGTTAAATAACGCAAACAAACATTGCGAGGAAAAAAGTGACAAATTAATTCTTAACACACATTACGTTAATTTCAACGTTAATTTTCCAGGGTTATAGTTTTTCATTAAATTGAAATAAAACATTTTACATTTTGGTGTCCCTAAAGTATTGAAAATGCTTATAGTTCCTTGTAACGCGCGGTGACAAGGTTTCGCGTGTGTTATAGAGATTTGAACGTCGTGGATTTCTAATGGATCTCATAAAGAAAATTACACTGAATGTAAATATTTATCCACGATTGCAATATTGCATTGTTTTTAGCTCTTAATTTATTCAATGGACATCTATTATAACGAATCTGATAATTCATGTTTTCACCCTGTTAGTTTGTCTGTTAAGCAATTTTTAAAAGTGTTCAATTCCTGTCTCTTTTAGTATTATTAACATGAAAATATTGGTATTTTAATTAGATCATGTATATTATACTGTCTATATATTGGGAGTTCTTTCCCCCAGTGGATCAGACTTTATACAAAAACATGCATACATGTGTATCCTCTTATCTTTATTTAATACAAAAATAATTTCTTTTCTTTTCTTTTTGCATTTTAATGTACATGCATGTATGTATTATCTAAATATAACAAGAAGTTTGTTATCCCCTCGGAACGGAGTTGGAGGGGTCATAGTAATACAATATGTGTGTGTGTGTGTGTGTGTGTGAGGGTGAGTGTGTGTGTGTGTGTGTGTGTCAGGGTGTGTGTGTGTCAGGGTGTGCGTGAGTGAGTCAGTTCTGTGCGAAACGGAAGTGACATAAATTTGCATCAGGATCGAATGATGTCTAATGCTGCCTTGACCATAGATATGCTCTTTGAGTGGCCTTTCGGTGCCCTTCTTTCTCATTGCAATGACAATTCTTTCTTAAGTTTCGTTTTCTAACTTCTAACTTTCCTTTCATATTTTTCCCTCTAACCTGAACAGAAACATTGTCCTAACAGGGCACCATCATTTTCTAGTGATGTGGCTTAATGCAAGCCAGATGTGTATCTCCATTAAATCTTAAACGTTTCTGGTGTTCGAGAAAATGAGGTGAGTTGTAACGTACTTATACACGATCAGAATTTTGTAAATACAGTAGTAAGATTTTAATCATAATAATGCAAATATATCTTCATATGTAATAAGTTTGAATTAATTAGCATTTTAAATGCATTTTCTTAGTACTAAGTGGTTTCCACCTCTGTCAAACTTGGAGAGAGGCGTGGACGGACTTCATATTGATGACGTCACTGCCGATACTGTGGCTACGTCGTCACGCTATACATTTACTTCCGGCCCCGAAACAGAACCACTGGTTCCGCCCATTTTTCATGCTTCCACCTATAAACTACGGTCTGTTGATGATTATCTCAAGATTTTGAACGAGGTATGCTGGACATTACACAATTTATAATTGCTAATTTAACATTTCTGATAATTTATACTTAAGCTGATTAAGTATTGCGTTCAGTAGAGTGAGAGTTTCAAGAGTAGATAAATCTAATCTGAATTCGTTGTTGTTTTAAACAGGGTGGATACATTTATTCGAGATTTAGCAACTTCAATCGTGACTCCGTTCAAGCAGCAATAAATGACATAGAAGGCGGAAAAGGTACTCTCGTTTTCTGCACTGGAATGGCTGCAATTTCTACAGCATTTCTCTCTTTCCTGAAAAGTGGTGATCATATAGCAAGTATATTCTGCATTTACTCATCTTTCCATTGTCATATAAAGCAACAATGCTAGTATTTGAGTTTAAAATTAACCCAAGATTGAAAAGAGCAAGGAAAAAAAATACTCTTCAACATAAAACGAGCAATTTTCAGATGCAGTATAAAAGTTTTTTCTTCTAACATTTAATAGCACCAAATGACTCTCATTTTATTTTCCATACCAGCCAACTTTAACCAATAATGAGAGACTGTTTGTCTGTAGGTGGCGAATAATCCTTGCTACAGTGGTACATACGACATGGTAACAAACATACTCCCTCGCTATGGAATCGAACACACCTTTGTTCCTACAGGGTGTTCGGTAGAGGAGTACCGAAAACACGTTAAACCTAATACCAGGGTAAGCGCTGTATGTTTCTATTTCTGCTTTTTATACAATATAAAGAAACGGTTTCCTCGCACCATTTGATCCAAATTTCTTCAAAAGTGAATAAATTTCATCGAAAAAAATATTCTTAATTTACTCTACATTTGATTGGGACTTATGATATGATACGGCATAACTGTAGTTATTTCATGAAGTGCAAATTGTGCGAAATTGAAATAAAATGTTAATGTCTATAATTTGAAAAATCTAATTCAGAAGACTTTTATTTAATATAATATCAGACAAATGTTGGATTTTTATTTTTTTCACATGGGAAATTAAAGAAAATTTGACAAAACCAGTAGTACGGTATGTCAGTTGAGCTTACTAAGGAAATCAGCTTATGGTAAATGGATGCTATACAGTTAAAGTATCTCATAGAGGGAGTTATCGGCTGCGCCTCGGGAAACAGTCCTGGCCTTTGGGAACTGGAATCTTGATAACTCCCTCAATGATATACTTTTTAACTGTTTTATTATACCGATACAAAAGTTAAAAAAAGAGGATTACGAATGATGAGGAATTAGCTTTTGGAGTGATTAGTTCACTTGACTAACGCACGGGGATTTGTCAAATAACGTATAATACCGATATAAAAGTAAAATTAATCTAGAGGATCATGGATAACGGGAATTAGCTTCCGAAGCAGGGATTAGCTTATTTGACTAACGCATGGGGATTAGTCCATTCACAGTGATTTCTAGGGAATTATTCACATTTTAATATCTAATTTTTATATAGGATAAAGTCAGTAGAGGTATAATAAATATATTTATTTTATACAACAATATCAGATGTTATACGGCGAGACACCCTGTAATCCCAGTATGGCTGTTCTTGATCTGGAAGGGTTTGGTAAATTGGGGAGATCGCTGGACAATGTGTTAACAATAGTGGACAGTACTTTTGCCAGTCCTTATCTACAGCCTGTTATAAAACACGGCATTGACATTTCGATGCACAGTTGGTATGTCCTGTGTTTAAAGCCGATATTTTTTTTTTAAATTTCAGCCCACTTTAGGCTTTATAAGCTGTTTTTTTTCATTTTTCTAAATTGAACATGATTACAAAAGGCAAATTTCTTTTAGACAGCAAAATTGATTTATTCTTAACAACAATGATTTTCTACATTCTGACAAAGCTTATTCGAGAAAAAAAGGATAGAAGAATTAATAAATATACTGATGTTTATCTTTCTCCAGTTAGAGAAAGTTATACTTTACAGACAATAAGAGGCCCTATTCTTATTACAGCACAAAATATCTTGGTGGTCATAGTGACCTTGTGGCTGGATGTTTGACCTTTGCCTCTGTTGACCTTTGGCAGACAGTGCTTCATTTTCAGACAACACTGGGAACAACTCTGGTATAACTTTATCCAATTTTAACAATTTTAGTATATATTCAGGCAGTCATTAAGGGTCTAAACTAAAACTTTTAAGATTTCTTTATGCATTTTAGTCATTGCCTTTCCACTGTTTATCTAAATATGATTACTCACATCTTTCAAATGAAAATAAGTACATTAAAAATTTTGAAACTTGTGATTTTTTCCCATGGCTGTATTCTGTATGAATTGTTATATTGTGAATTTTGAAATTTACCAGGTTGCCGAATACTTACTTCCACATCTGCTGGGTAGTTCAAATTCACATTATTGATAGTATCCACAGTAATATTATACATTTATTGCATGATAGTGAGGGAAATATGAAGACTTATTCAGCCAAGAAAAATCATATTCCCCGAGGGTTTCGCCCGAGGGAAATATGATATTTCTTGGCTTAATAAGTCTTCATGTTTCCCGAACATTCATGCAATGAATTGTTTATTATACCGAAACAAGCAAAGCCTTTGAAATAAACATAAACTTTCAAATTCGGCACCTTTCTCAAATTCATTCTCATTTTTTACGTAGAACTTTACTATTAAACCCTTTGTTCAACACATTATCATCATTTTTGTGACGTAAACCAGGCTATTGTGACGTCTACTTCTCTCGGGAGTTTTCGTTCAACGAACAGGAACTATATTGCGGGAAAATACACTAGGTGTTCCAAAGAGGTGGAATATGATGAAAAGCGTACCGACGGCCGGGAAATATGAAGTTTTACGGCCCAATCACGTGATAACTTAGAACCAGTCAGATAATGCATTGTTTAGAATATTTATAATTAAGGAATGAATTTAATAGCTACCCATTTTATACGGTATAAACTGGGTTGGGGCAGTTTACGCTTTATAAACCGCGAAGCGGTTTATAAAAAAGCGTAAACTGTTCCAACCCACTTTATACCTGCTTATAATTTAATTTTCATTCATTTGATGTAAGAAAAAAATATGATTGTTCTAACAAAACGACTTCGATTTCTACAAAATTTGAATGTAACGTCAGGCGGATTGATACGTTTTTGACGAAAGTCATTGTGACGTAGGCAACCCATTTTATACGATATAAAATAATTTTTTATCCAATCAAATACAGCGTTACAGCCAGAATTAAATCATTGAGGTATAATAATAGTCCTTGTCCTTTTTTTCAGTCACCATACGATGCAAGTCTCCTTCTTCGAGGAATCAAAACCCTTCATTTACGCATGGATAAGCACAGTTCTAATGCTCAGAAAGTAGCCGAATTCCTAGAAAACCATCCTAAGGTGACATTGCACAATCATTCTTAAAATAAAACCAAAAAAAAAAAAACCAAACAAAAATCAAGATTTCATGACATTTGATCTGTATTTTTTCTACAGGTAGAGAGAGTGATGTACCCTGGCCTTCCGTCACACCCGCAACATCAGATTGCAAAGAAACAGATGAAGATGTTCAGTGGAATGATCGCCGCTGAGATTAAGGGAGGAGTGCAGGGAGGGAAGACCTTAGTAGAGGTGTCTCTTCTTTAATCAGCCATCTTCAAATGAAATATTTTTTTTTAAAAAATGCTCAATTGTTGGTTTGTTTTTCCTAATCTCACATGTAAATCACTTGATAAACAGAATGTGCGTCTAATACAACTAGCGATTTCTTTGGGAGGAGTAGAGAGTCTAATCGAACACCCTGCCACGATGACGCATGGCCCAATGCTGATGACGCCAGAGGACAGACTGAGTGGTGGAATAACTGATGGTCTTGTTAGAATTAGGTAAAAGTATATTAAGTGCAATTTTGTTTTTTTTTTCATGCCCAAACATTGAATTATCCGGGGCATGTATAATTTTAACTCTTTTTCTCGTCCATTCTTGTCACACAAGATTCATTATTGTTGTTGTTTTTGAAAAATAATACATGTAGTAAATGGTGGTATAGTTCATGGATATGAATTATTGATGTTAGTTTTTTTTCTATATTTTAGTATCGGTATAGAGGATGCAGATGACCTCATCAAAGACCTGAAGCAAGCATTAGATAAAATCCCCCCCCCCAGTCTCGTAGCGTAGGGGTGTTCGAAACAGCACCTTAAAAAGCACCTTCTCAGTTTTATTCAGAGCACACACCTCATTATAGATAAAGAAAGAAAACTGTGTAATTTGTAATTTAAACTCTTATTTTCGTGGATTCGCTAGTCCATGAATTTCTCTATAATTTGTAATTAACAACATACAACTATAATTGTTATTTAAATAGCATCATATGGCCTATCAAGCTCATGAAGTGCTACACTGTTAATTAACTTTTAAGTTATGTTTCTGTAGGGTAAAAATTTTAGTCCACAATGATTGATTGCTTAATTTACTAGTGGTACAGTTGTGCATGTAGAAGGTGTTACTGAGTAAAAAACAGCCTGAAAAAGGTTTCAAGTGGAGATTTTTCTTAAAAGATAAGAATTTCTTGAATTTAAAATTTGAAAAAAATGTAAAAGAAAAAAATCAGTTTATCAATTGGTAAGGTTTAAAAGTAGAAGAAAATATTCTGATGACTAAACTATTCAATTCTCGCATCATTTCTCCAGTACATCTTCTGAAGAAATTATATTTTATAAATAAGTTGCTGAGAATCCCGGTCTGTTTTCTTGTTCTTATCTGTCAATCAAGATCAAGGTTCCTGAGTAACATTATTATATATGCATATTATTTCGCGAAATAACGCGAAAGTTACGCGTTTATTCGCGAAAGTTTCGCGTTATAACGCGAAAGTTACGCGTTTATTCGCGAAAGTTACGCGTTATATCGCGAAAGTTTTGCGTTATAACGTGAAAGTTTCGCGTTATAACGCGAAAAATTTATTTTTTTACCTACGAAAATGAGCTCAATGGGCTTTCGTTCTATTTTGTATAAAAAAAAAAATAAAAAAAAATTGCTGTAAATGAATGCATCACATGAAGACGTAATAAAATATCTAAAGAAAAGTCGAATAGATATGAAATTAAAACACATCATTTGTTAATATTTTGTGGTTAAAATCTTCTAAAAAACAGCCACACCTGGGAAGAACATATTTGTTAATCATATAATTTGTAAAAGAAATTGAGACGAAATAGCCAAATTTTAGAGAAATTTATTAAACCTATCCCAACCATGATTGTACAATCATTGGAAATAAATAACACTTTCCTAAGAACTCTAGTCTGTTCACGTGTAATAATGGTTATAACATTATTGAACTTGACAATCAAATAGATATCATCATTGTACATACACGAAAAAAGCAATAAATATTTTATTCATTTTGTGTTAATTATGATCGGTCTCTCAATGCTGAAACCATTGTTTAAAAAGGTTGACTCAACGATCTATAAAATAAAAAGTTGGGTGGCATTCCACCTTGATTGAAATACAGTGTCTTAAATCGACCAGGCATATATATGAATAAAAGCCTCAGCTGGATTCGAACTCAGGATTTGCGATTCACAAACCAGAATGTTAAACTTTATCACTCCGCTACACTCTTATTCGACCAAATGAATTGATACAAACAATTTATAAGACATTTAAAACGCCATCTTGTGATGTATGATTTTAAAAAGTATAATTGTAAGCCACCTTAAGGTATTGTTTCAATGCATCATTTACTTTGTGTCTGTTTATTAATAATCTATCAATACACATGG